AACATGTACTTTCAAAACGTAGGTGGCCTAAGAACCAAGTTGAATGAGCTTCATATTAATGTAAATAGTAGTGACCACGACGTTCTGATTTTATTAGAAACTTGGTTAACTAAGGAAATAAAATTAAGTTTATCAAATTATCATGTTTTTAGATCTGATAAGGATTGTAAGTTTTTAAAGCAAGGTAGGGGTGGCGGCGTATTGGTGGCGGTAAATAAAAAATATTGTTGTTCGATTTTGGCTTCATTTAATGGGTTCTAGGAAAGTTTATTTATTTCAGTGTTCTTAGATAAGTATACAAAATTAATTTTAGGAGCACTTTATATTTATGCAAACTCAGACGTTGGTACATATGATAATTTCTGTGATAAAGTAAAGGAAGTAATTGGTTTGAAACAAAATAATAAAGTTGTTTTATGTGGGGATTTCAACCTACCTAACTGTAAGTGGCATATGTTATTGAAGTTGCAATGTTAGTTGAATGTGCTGGTAATCCTACAGCAGTAAATGTCTCAAACAGTTTATCATATTTCAATTTGTTGCAGATGAACAATATACCTAACAGTAGGGATACGTTCTTGGATCTAATATTCACAAATATTTCAAATCTTAATGTACGCCATATTTCAGATCGTATTCTAAAGAAGTCTGCACATCATTTTGGATACGATATATTAATTAATGTTAATTCTTTTAAAACACAACATAATTTACAATTTCAAGATATATATTTTGATTTTTAAAAAGCAGATTTTGTTGTCGTAAATCATTATTTATTCCTCCGGTATTGGGACCACATCTTTTGAGGTCTAGGAGTTAATGAGTGTGTTAATAAGTTTTATGAAATGCTGTATCTGTCTGGGTTCCAGTAATTAATTGTAGAAACTCAAATCATCCTAAGTGGTTTTCTTCAGAACTAAAGCGACTCATTCGACATAAAAAACAATTACACAAGAAGTTTAAATCAACAGGATGTGCCATTGACTATAAAAATTATTCTGAAATTAGGAAATTATGCAAGTTAAGGGTTAAAAGGGATTATAGTGATTATATGGTGAATGTAGAAAACAGTATTAAGACAGATGCAAGAAACTTTTGGAAATTTTGGAGGAGAAGTACAAGTCGAATTCATATCCTAACTCATTCGTATACAATGATAGTATATCATTGAACACGAAAGAGGCGGTAAATATGTTCGAAAATGTTTTCACTCGGTATATACCAAACCTTTGTCAACAAATAGGACGAATAATTTAAAAGTAGGTGGTGAAACGAATTACAATTTTTCATTAATTTTTACTCATGAGGTATTTGATGCAATTTTAAATTTAATAGTTTTAATAATAGTAGAGGCCCGGATGGTATTTCTTCGTTATTGTTGGTTTTTTGTGTGTATAGTATAACGAAACCATTCAATTTATGTTTAATGCCTCTTTATCAGAGGGCATATTCCCAGATGTATATATTATATGTTATACCTAATTACCTACATTCCATTCTGGCAACCGTGAGTTGGTAAAGAAATACAGGGGCGTTTGTATACAGTCAGTTATTCCCAAAATATTTGATTTATTGATATCAAAACAACTGGAAGTGACATGTAAGCATATCGTGGTAGAACAACAACATGGATTTTGTTCGGGTAGATCGACGATAGACGGGCCATAAGTAAATTCAATTTATGCCAACTTTGCCAAGGCGTTTGATAGGGTTCATCATGGTGTTCTAATTTTTAATTTGAAACTTATGAATTTTGATACCGCCTGTATAAAATGGGTAATCAGTTTTATGAGTAATAGAAAACATTTTGTCAAGATAGGATGTCACATTTCCAATCCTGTAATCGTAAGTTCAGGATCACTCTATGGTAATGTTATTTACATTATTTGTTAATGGCATTTTCAAGGTGATCAGAGTTTCTAATATTGTACTGTATGCTAATGATTCGAAATTATATAGAGCTCTCAATACATCACAGGATTGTTGGGAGATCCAAGAAGTTTTGAATTGTTTGTATGAATGGTGCCTCGATAATGGGATGGAATTAAATGTGAAATTAGTATATTATATATCGAGGGTGGTAAGAAGCTAATTACGAACGAAGTTTATACACGAGCGAGCGTAGCGAGCGAGTGATGTAATATGAGTTCGTAATTAGCTTACCACCAGAGTTGTGTCATATACTTTTTCTACGATCTATAATAAAGAATCACTTTCAGAAGAAATTTTTTTGGGAAAGCAAATATTTATAGTTGCTATGGAAACTATTCAAACAGGCACGTAATATATATTATATATTACGTGCCTGTTCATTCATTACATGCCAGTGGGTGTAACTATGGTTTTACTATGAGGCTAGACAGTTCGTAATTCATGGATTACTATGTGGGAGTAGAAAAAAGTGTTTTAGAACACATTCTTTCTCTAAGAGTAAAATTAATATAGATTATAAATATCGGATAAACAATATTCGTTTAGTTAGGGTGACAGAAATGCGTGATCTGGGCGTCGTTATGGACTCACGTTTAAGTTTTTCTCAGCATAGACAGTTTGTCATCGATAACTCCAATAAAATTCTTGGTTTAATGTATAGGTCGCAAAAGGATTTGTCTTTTGATTCTCTTAAATTAGTGTATTGCGCTGTTGTTCGGTCAATTCTTGAATATTCCAGTTTAATATGGTCTCCACAATACGGCACTCATATTAGAGAAGTTGAGAAGATTCAGAACCAATTTTTGAGAATGTGTGCATAGAAGATGGGCCTCTATAGGGATATGTATTCATACCAACAGATTAGAGAATTAATAAATATATATACGTTAGAGCGTCCATGAACTATCATTGGTCTCACGTTTCTTTTTAAAGTTTTTAATGGTAAAATTATATGTTTAGAAATACAAAAATTATTTTCTTTAAACTGTCCTACTCGTTTCTTAAGAAGTTCTCCGATTTTCCATACAGAAAGACACAGAACCAACTATGGATTCTCCGCACCAGCTGAGTAGTCAGAACTGCCAATGCTCACAAAGAATTGAAATTGTTTGGTGTTTCAGAAGAGAGGTTCAGAAATTCAGCAAGGAACATTTTATTTTGAATAGTAGGTGCTTAATTATATTAAGTAATTTATTGTTTTCGTCTAGGGAAGGTAAAGATTTAACACGTCAGTCTATTTAAGTATTTAGTTATTCATTATAGGTTGGAGTTATTATTCAGTTATTAAGTTGTGTAAATCGACCCACAAGACCTGTTAAACGAACCAAAAACAGTAAAGAACAAAGTCGACAAAAAAGCCTCGCCTACGAAGTTAACGAAGCAAACCTTCTAACCTACTAAAGAATAATCCAAATTAAGGCCTATCAGAAAGATCTGCATAGTACGTTCATTTTTGAGATACCTCTAGCGAACCTCCTAATTGTAATTTTTACTAATTATATCCATTTCCCATTCAGCATGATTTCAAACGTACCAAATTATTATACAGTCCCACAAATACCTCTAGCTTAACGAGTTTTACTTCAGTTTGAATAACGATAAATGTAATGGAGTCAACCCTGGAGACTATATTTGCCACAAACTAGTAAAATTTCCAAAGACGCATCTTTGTGAAATTCTGATATGTACTTAAATTTTCAAAGAATTAACAGCAGTGTAATATCATCAGTCAACCTCAAAAACATGAAAATCTGGAAAATCTATAAAAACCATTAGATTGGAATATTCCCAATCCAGCAAGCAGCCACGTCAACATGCGGATAAGAGGATGAACACCTATCAATAAAAAAAGTTACCACTGTCTCAGGTGGATGTAAATTAAGAATCAACTCATCGACCCTTCAGAGCTACCAGAATCCTGAATTCAAGAAGCAGTCGGTTCAAACGCCAAAATTAGAAATTTCGTCAAATCCACCACTCAGGGAAGAAATCTGCGAACAAAAACCGCTACAACTGGAAACAGTCAACTTAGCAGAGATTGTCCCAATTTACCACAGGATGCACGAAATATAGCAGGATCTCCAAAAAGAGAACCATAGATACGCCACCTATTCCACTAATGTTTGGGCAATTTTAATCTAATATCTTTTTAATTGTTACAGTAACCTTTATTTGGCACAAGTGTATTTATTTAAGTGAATAATTGTGAATTAGAATTAGGTGATATATGTGAATAATCAACAATTACCCAATAACAAATAATCGGTGTTAAAATAAGAATTGTGAATAAAAATTAAAGTTCTTTTCAAAAACAAATTGATTAAACCAATAAACTTAACTCGTGATTACTTTTTATTAATTATCTTGCAACCTTCATCGCCAATCTTTTTATGAATAATACGAGACATGTGTATTCTTATTTTGTCTCCACGAACACAAAGGCATATGACATCATTGTCGTTATTGTTTTTTTTTATTTGTTGTAAGTAAGTAGAGAAATATGAAGCAGGTTAATTGTATTTTGTATGTACAAAATTGGATAGCTGTGTATTTAAGTAAAATGTAGCAATACAGTTTTCTGATTTATTTAACTGTCTTGTATTTCATTCTTTGCTCTCCACTCTCAGGATTTGTTTATTTTTCAATAAATATTTCTAATCATTCTTTTTCTGAGAAATTGCTTCACCCCACAAGAAAACGCCACTTCATTATAATTATAAATGATCAATTCAAACGTGCCCCTTTTGTTTTCTTTTCTGTAAATTTTAAGAAGGCAACTGCAGCTTGTTTTCTGTCGCCACAACTGTCGAAGTATACATTTTAATGGAATTAATTAAACATAAAACCACCTGCCGTCACCTAATAAAGACTACCTGTATTTGTTTTTGCTTTGTAACGTTATTACCAGTCTTTTACCACGAAGATCTCCGTTAGCTTTCGTTATTATCTTTCGTAAATGTGTTTCATTATACTTACATCGCCGGCGCATTGCTTAAGAGTCCATCTCCATCCTATCCAAATGAAATGTAAATATGCATTAAAAATAATCGAGTTACCTTTTGTTTCAGGCGTTATCTGGCGATTTCCTGCTTTTCCCACTTCAGAACCGAATTAAGACAATTCGTGTACCAAGAGACCGGAACGCAATCTAGAAAAAATCCGTCCACCGAGATTGAACTGGAACAGACACGAACTCAATCAGAATTTATAATTCAACGATCCAATTAAAAGATGTGACGGCATAACGGTGTGAAACCTCCTTAATCAGGGTCCCTCGCGACCATGGAGAAGGATTCGGGACATTACTGCTACGAACCCTATCAAGGTACGGTTCTTCATGTCAGTTTGCACCATGTAATTTTAACAAATTCCAATTAAATAACCTTTTGTTTGTTTTAAACCAATTTTAGAACTTTAGTGATTAATTTTTGACAATAGTGCTGTCTCAAAAATTATCAGAAAAACATTTATCTTAGAACGACGGCTCGCATATGTATGGGTATATTAATTTTAAACAACATAACACTTTTATCTGCTAATATTCACGTGCAAAACTTGGTATGAGTTACTATTTTGCAATAAATGGTTATTAACTTATTACGAAAAGTATAAACCTGTTAAAAATGAATGAATTATCAGCTCAATCGTCCTTTGTTATTGGGTTCTCTGTTATTGAAATTGATGAGGCGTTAAAATATATGTATTAGTTTTTCTGTCCAGGTAACATACCTGGATTTAATCAGTTGCAGTTTCATTTATAAAGAGCACAAATTAATTTTGTTAAATTTGTCTAAAATTGTAAATTCCGAGATATTCTCGAACATCTTGGAAACTTTTAAAAGAAAAAATGTAGTAACTAATTAAAATTGTCTCTCTAAGTCACTGCTGAAGTCTTAGGATAGTTGTAATTTAACTTTAGTTTAGCTTTGTCTAAATAACACCGATGCGGTTGGCGAAAGCCATTGTGGCGGCACAATAACACGTCGGTAAACAGAGAAAGATCAGTGGCCTCGTGGTCCAGTGGTTAAGATACTTGCCCGGAAAGCATAGAGACGTGGGTTCGACTCCCACTGAGGCACAACATTTTTCTCTACTTACCTACACCATCAGCAAATATTTTGTGTGTTTTCCGTGTTGTGTGGATAAACGTTATATTATTGTAACGCAACCAGTGATCAAAAAGATTCATATACTGCAGCGTCAAAAATATAAAGAAAAATTTAGATTAGATTTTATTAGACTTTGCTTTCTTTGTTTTAAGATAACGTCTATAAAATAAAAACCGGTGGCATAAATAACACTATCGCAGCCCCGGCATCATGGAAGCGCAAACTGTAAGGGATTGTGCAAATTGCACAAGTACGGACAATGTTAAAGATATTTAAAGCAAAATAACCAACGGCCTCCCAGCAGTAATAAACACAAGCTTTCTTCCAAAGTATACTAACTGATTTCCATAAAAATCCGAATACCTTGAATTAGTTGACTGATAAAACTGAAAGTTTTACCAAATGTGCATTAAATCGAACCAAATAAATGATTAAAATAACAGGCCTAAAACTCGTTTACTCGGCGAGATATGCATGAAAGAAGATGGTTTATGGTGTCCTGTGGGATCTCGTCCCAAGCTTCCTGAACCCGCATACGAAGGTCATTTAAATTATTCGGGGGATGCTGCAAGTTACGTGGACGTGTGCCCATGATATCCCACAAATGTTGGATTGGTGACACATCTGGTGAACGAGCAGGACAGGGGAGAACTACAACATTATGTTGTTGAAGATACTTCGTTGTGACTCTTGCCGTATGTGGGTATGCATTGCCTTGCTGAAATAGGGGTCGATCTAACCCTCTGAGGTTAGGAACTGGAATCGGCTCCAGTACTACATCGATGTATCCTCCTGTATTCAAATTTCCCTGAATGAAATCTAGAGGGGACCTGCCACCCTGCGTTATTGCCCGCCAAACCATCACGCCTTGTGTGAGAGCTGTATGGCGTTCTACAGCGAAATTCAAATTTCGGTGTTCTCCACATAATCGCCTCAGCCTCCTACGACCATCATGAGCCCAAAGGCAAAACCGGGATTCGTCTAAGAACACTACCCGACTCTGTTCGTGGTCGCAAAGAAATGGTCGATATGAACGTAACCCAAACGACCTTATTGGACGATAAACTGATGACATGCAGATCCTATGCTCCAACACACCCATTCAATCAGTCGCAATTACATGAGTGGTAGAACGTCTGTCTCCGAGGGCAGCAATTGCACGCATAGATGACGATCTTCGCGTGCTGCCGTTCTTTGAGGACTACCAGATCCACGAATTCACTCATGCACTCCTTCCTCAGACCACCTCCTCCAAACTGCAATACCGTTGAAAGACTACGGCCTATACGGTCCGCAATTAGCCGTATTGAAAAACTTTTCTCATACCAACAATGCGGTCTTTTTCAGACTCACTCAATTGATGAAAGTGAACCGGCTCACGATGTCTTGGCATTTTTCGTTTTGTTTTCTACAGGATAGCCCTAAAATTTTCTACACAACTAACTTATTTATACATCCGTAGAATGTCCCTTAGAAATTTGTTCTGATTCGAATGAGTTTGTCGCCTCAAAACAGGGTACTAAAATTACTGATTCACCCACGTGGAACAGAATGTTCTGAATATTATTATTATAATTTTTATTAAATAAAGACGGGTGTATCCTCATCCTTTCGAGGAAGTAGGGTGACTCGTTCTTAATTTGATCAATAAAAAATTTGTTATGACGCCATAAACGTAGATAATACACAATGCGCGAAAAAAAGAGAAGGAAAAATTGTCGAAAGTTGTTTCGACAAAACTTCCCTCACTCTTGAAATACAATGAAACATATTCAGCATCTTTGAGTTGAGTTTTTTCTTTACACAATTTTATGATTACGTCATCAACATTTTTTCAAGGACGTATGTCTACATTGATTGTTGTAGGGTAATACTAAAAATAACAGTACTGCATTTCCAAAATTTACTGGGAAAATGAAGTGAGCCGTTTAATCAATAAAATAAATTGACTCATTAATGTAATGATAAATCACACGTAAAAATTCATCATATTTTGCACATTTTGGGTACAATTTATTCGGCAAAATATTGAAATAACGTCATCAATTTTTTGGGGGGAGCAAACGGATTTATTTTGATTAACAATTTACCAAGTTTACAATTACTTTAAAACGTCTACAAGATTTCAAAGCATTCCGTTTCAATAAAATAAATTGATTGATTTTTTTTTTTTTGATTCACCCTGCATAAGCAAATCTAAAAAATATGAATGCACATTTTAGATGGGATTTATTTGGCAAAATTTTGAGATGACGTAATCAATTTTTTGGAGTTGATAAACAGATACATTTTGATTAAAAATTTTTGCAATTCTTGATTTAAACTATAAAATAAGTTCACTCAATCATTAATTATTTGAAGACACCTTGTATAAGCAAATCTGAAAAATATTAATGCATTATAAATCACAAGTATAGACAGACTGACTCATCATATTTTGCACATTTAGGACAAGATTTGTTCAGCAAAATTTTGAGGTGATCAATTTTTTGGAGGGAATAAGTAAATATATTTTGATTAAAAATTTATCATGCTTATCATAACTGTAAACCATCTGCAAGATTTCAAAACATTCGGTTTTACAGATTCCAAATTAAATTGCAAATTGTTGTTTCATTATTTTGATTTTTTTTCAAAAATCTGGACGTTTCGGGTAAAAACTCAATTCGGAGTCATAAACTACAGGTGTAGGACTATGTTATTTTGTACAATTTAAAACCCATTTACTATGTACAATTTTGTGGGGTGGGGATGACTAGACAAATTCTGGGTTACCATCTACATGACATTCGCAATATAAATACAAAATTTGACAACAATCGACCCAGTACTTGCGGGAATTAGGGCCAGTTCTGAATCAAACCTGTTACATTTAAAGGGTGTTAAATTGCAAATTTCCATAGTAACGATCTAAATTCGTAAATCTGATTGGCTGTTTATTTTTAACAACCTTTAAATTTTAACATGTTTGATTCAGAATTGTCCCTATTATCTGTCCAACAAAAATCCGGGACGGCAGACAGACGGACACACGGACACACGGACATACAGATAGATAAATGGACAGACGGACAGACGAACAGACGGACAGACAGACAGACAAACAGACAAACAGACAGACAAACAGACGAAAACGGGAAACATATTTCTTCGTACTGTAGGGGTCATGAAAGGCGAGAAAACGTAAAAATAGAGAGTCGGTCTACGGACTCGATTACAACGTTCGGCAAGTAAAAAGATGACACTTACCTTTGAAAATAATTTTAAATTGACATGCAACGCGTTTCTTGCAAAGATGGTACATTTAGGTGAAATTGAGTGCATAGAATTATTAATGATTATCGGTTACGGTCTTTAAAGACGAAGTTTTGCTCAAGTACTAACACTTTTTAATGAAATTCACCGAAATTCTAAGCGGACGGTTTCAAGAACCTAGCGAAGATTTAATGAATCTGGTAGTGTTAAATAACATCCAAAACCTGGCAGCCCAAAAATTGCTACAAATGATGAAAATACCCTACATGTCCTCTTAGATGCAAAAGAACGTCCCTAAACGTCAGCGCAACAATTAGCGCTGAATCACAATGTTAGTAGTAAATCAATTCAAACAACAATGAAAAAGGAAAAGTTTCACCCATACAAAATCCATTTGGTACAAGAACTGAACGAAGATGATATAGATCATAGAGTTGAATTTACCGAGACAATTATGAACAGAATACAACAAGGCGGAAATTTCATCAACAGAATTTTGTTTTCTGACGAATCTACGTTTTGTTTAAATGGTCATGTGAGCAGACACAACTGCAGGTACTGGTCCATATCAGATGGAGCAAATCCACACACAGCGTCCAGAAAAGCGGAATGTTTGGTGCGGTGTTATTGGTTACCATGTATTTGGTCCTTTTTTTATTAATGGCAATTTAAATTCTGAGGGATACTTAAGGCTGTTGATGGAACATATAGTGTCTAGACTTAGAGAATTGTTTCCCAATAATTACCAAAATCCGGAGTTACCAGCAGAAACTGTTTGGTTTCGACAAGACGGTGCTCCATCCCATTTTGTACGCTGAATGCAACAGTACTTAAATTATTAAACTTTTCCTGGCAGATGGACAGGCTGAAGGGGTACTATTGAGTGGCCTGCCAGAGTGCCAAGTCACTGGATTTGAAACCGCTTGACTTTTTTGTGGGGCTATTTGAAGAATCGCGTTAA